CTACTGATTCTCACGCCGGAGGTATAATGGGGAACAAAGCCCCGACCTCATTTTGCAGGTAACATTCGTTGATTTGAGCAACCGGAACACCCCACACGTCGTCATCATCGTGGAGGTAAATTTTGTGATTATTTCATCCAGGTTGGCTACAAGTTGTCAATTAGAAGCATGTGGATAGAGTGAATAAAACGTGATTTCTAACCAAATCGATTAAAAGATAGCCAATAAGGGGTTGCCATTTTTCATTCTCTAAAAATGGCCAAATTATACCGATACTTGGAGGAAAATCTATAAACACCCCCTTTTATTTGAAGGAATGCGTGGAATTCAATTATCTCCCTCTTAAACAGTTGTTTCTCCTTTTATTCTGATTGAAACTTGTAGACTAGTACATTTAGGGGGTGAAAATCATAGTTAGGCGAGAGGATTTCTTGATTGTATTTACACCGATCTTCGATTATAATTGTTTTTCATCAATAAAATCGTTTAATTCAATCAGTACCATCAACAAATTGACTCCTTCTATGAGAAACTTGGGCAAAGTAAACTAGGAAATCTTATCACATCTGAAAAAGTTCGAATTCTCTGAAAATTCGAGATTATAAATCAAATTGAAGAGAAACTGGAGGAGGTAAAGGAATCAAAGGTGGAAGTCAGAGAGGGTGGCGACTGTCCACCAGATTGTGATGCCAATCCCAAATGACAGTGGGAGGAAGCACCTCTCAAATTGCCAATCAGTATTTCTCCAACTCAACGCTACAGCTTGAGAAGAAAGGCATCTATTGCCAAAATGATACGAGTGATAGCAAAAAGCCCAAAGATGCTAGCAACAGATAATGTATCACTTCGCAAAAGCTAAAAATCCAGAAGGGGATTGGCGAGAGGATTCAGAGTAAACAGAGAAAAACATACAGCCAATTCCTTTTGGAAAGAAAAAGAAAGGAGCGACATGAGGATAAAAACACAATAGAAAATCTATGGATAAGCTAAGTTCTCGCGATAGAATATCAACTCAAAACTACCATCAAGGAAAGTGGAGAGCTAGAAATATGATGACTCGTCATATAATACTTTCCCCGCAAAAGTGTATGAAGATTGTTCAAATAGATCGTATGAAATGGATAATGATGTTGAATGCATACCATTTTCCATGGAAATCAAGGAGGTACCAATCCCAGATAATTTCATTCACCCAATAATGGACAAATATAATAGGAAAGGAGATCATATGTACCATTCGTTCCAGTACATGACACAAATGAAGCTGAAGAAAGCAACCCCTGCATTGAAGTGCCTGGAATTTCACTAACCCTAGATAGATCGACTAAAATGTGGTACAACAAATTGCCATTAGGATCCATTAGAAGCTAGCTCCAATTGAAACATGTTTTCTTGGGAGCGTTTGCTGGTAACAGATTGGGACAAGCTCTAACCACATGACTGAATGACATGCAACAAGAATATTGAAATCTTTAAAGAGCTACTTCGCACGATTTAGTGTCTAATTGATAGCTTGCAAAACCATATCAAATGAAAAGGCTAGAGACCCCTTATAGAATAGTCTATTAATGGAGACTCCTTTCTGGCGGGATGTTCGTAATCAAAATCCTACTTCCTACTATCAGTTGGTGAATTTCATCAAAAGTGAAATCCAAATGGAGGACATTATTGCCAACCGAAAGAAGATATAGCAAGTGCAAAATGAGAAGCTCAAATGTAAGACAACCACATACTCTTTCAAATTGCCAAAACAACAATATTCACGTTTTGTAGAATCCAAGGAAAAGATCCACAAAATATCTTGAGCTCCTGCACCTGTTGCAAACGAAGAAAATCTTTTCCCTAGGAGTTAGAAGGAAAAATTCTACAAGATTTATATTCCAAGGATCATAATACGATTGAGTGTTACAATGTATTAAAAATAATTAAGTTAAAAAGTGAACAGGGAGGTTTGCAGGGAACGATTTATGGAAGAAAACCACCTTACCCATAAAAAGACGAGGTCAGGTAAGCAGAATAAGGCAAGCCAAACAATAACTAGTTCCAACCAATACTCCTAGTTTTCTCCCCCGATTAAGGAGATCAATACCATAAATGGAGGCCTATATATTGGTGGAGATAGATCAAGTGACCAAAGGATCTATGTTCATAATGCTAGAAAGCCCATGCGGGAGGTATTATGGATTCGAGGTAACCTTAAACTTGTCTCTCTTCCAATTACCTTTGATATTAACAATGAACATGGGGTCATATATCCATTACAATGCATTAGTAGTTCGAGCTACAATAACTCGTCGCGACCTTAGCCACATGATGGTAGATAATAGCAGCTCCATTAATATTCTATTTTGGAGTGCTTTTGACCTAATACAGGTTGATCATCCTTGTTTACCAATGGCCGAACCCTTATATGATTTCATCGGGGACGGTTTGATCTCAAGGGGACAAATTACACTAACAATTGAGCTTGGCGAAGAGCCAGTTGCATTTCAAGGGCACATGAACTTTTTAGTCATGGATAGCAAATTTGCTTACAACAGGATCTTAGGAAGACTCGCTTTGAAACAACTGAAAATTGTAACTTCAATCCACGATATGTGCCTGAAATTTGAAACTCCCCAAAGCATAGCCTGTATAAAGGGAAACCAAACTACCGTGCGAGGATGTTATTTCAGCACTCTACAGAAAGCAGCCCAAAACCCTTAAAGGGTACTATGTCCATGGTAGAACAAAAGAAAAGCATGCTTGAAAACTCTTTTCTATGGAAGCAAGTATCCGATGTGCAAAGGGAAAATTGAAAAACCTACCCACCAATAAAGATAATTTCGCAAGTACTAAATGAATTGTGGAACTTGAAACACGTCCAGGTAAATTAAAACGTTATGACGTATTGTAAATATGTTGCAAAGCACTTATAATAGGGAAGAGGATAGCAATACACATCCCTTTACAGTTTTGTAATGATAATTTAACAAATGCCTACATCCCCCGTTGAGCATCCAACAAATTGGATAAAGCTCAGTTGCACTATACAGCCCCAANAACAAATATGGATAATGCTCAGTTGCACTATACATTCCCAAATTGGCAACGAACGTTACAGATCTTTCAAATAGTACAAAAGATAGAGAAAGAACATTTATCTCACAAATACATGAACAGATCTAGAACGAATCAGCAATAAACTCCACAGTACTCCTCTAATACACAGCTCAAAATAGAACCTTAGTTCTCATAAATATTCACACAGAATACCACAATCAAAGATTTAAACTCTCACGATTTATAGCCTCAAATCAGAGATTTGAGCACAGAAAGTCAGAAGAAGAAAACCCTAAGTTTTTCTCTCAAAGGCAGAAGCAAAGAGTATCTCGAACCATCTAAAATGAATCAATTAGGGTAAGTTAAAGAGTCTTCCAGATAAATCAGCCAACGGTCCAAATCAGTCCACGTGTCACTATCTGAGTAATGAAATTGGATAAAATGTTTTCACAGAAAACATGCCTTTGTTAATATAATTCTGGCAGCACACCAATTTCAGCCAGGGTTCGAATCCCACACTAACAATTTCAAGAACCTTATTACCCCCGTACTGCATGGACTCCTCCACAAGCTTCCGCTCATTAGCCTTCACTTCAACAATGCCAAACTTTGCGAGAGCCAGTTTTGCCTCAATATTCTCCAAGTGGTTAAGAAGTAAGGCATTTTCACTCCTTGCCTGATCCATGTCTTTGGGGAGAGCAAGCTGTTCATTCTTAACAAACTAAAGCCCCTCTTTGAGGCGTAAAAGCCCAATATCAGTTCTGGCAACATAATCAACATGGCTTTCCCTCGCTTGTTCCAAATCCTTAGCGAGTCTGGTAACATCAGTCATTAGAAAAGCCTCCTTAGCAGCAGGAGTCTTGGAACCTTTGCACATCCCCTTATATTTTCTCAACTTCTCCCAGCTTCCTTTGGAGAGTTGCACGTTTCTTCTCCATGGAATCCGCCCTTTTCTCCAATTTATAAGCTCGCGGGATGCAAACCTCATACTCTGCCTGCTAATCATGATGAAGGACAGTGGCTCGCAGGAGATGAGTATCAATCAGATTCCCACTTCGTTTGTGGGTCATGTTCTCTGCAAATTTCTCCCAAGCAAGTTAAAATACAAAAAAGGTAGACCTAACTGCCCTGGAAACCAAAACAAGAATCAAGGATAAAGCTTTAGGGTTTAGCTCTCCGTCATAGCATTAGCAGGCATTAAATAAGGATTAGAATCTACAAGATGCTCAGATCCCTATGGCATTTTTCTCTTCCCCTTTGTTCCCTTGTCAAAATCGAAGACTCGGATCCAGATATCTTCGAACCTCCTGCCCCTTGAGGGAGCAGGGGTTGCTCAGCCAAACCTTTGCCTTCACGTGAAGATGTATCATTATCCCCCTTGGAATCCTCCACGGGTATATCTTTAGGAGTACCCAATTTTTGGCGCTTAGAAGCAGTGCTAAAGTCAATCTTCATGTTCATGGTAAATTGAATGACAATATAATTTGCACGAGTAGACGAAATTATGTAAATAAACATGTAAAAAGAAAGATATCCCAACAGAAATGAAGTTAACGTCTTCCATAGGAGTCAAGATTAACAGGTGTTATCGGAGGTAAAAATCTCAGTATCACAAATAAGGAAAACACTTTTTTTCTTTATGAAGTATTAGAAACAAAAGATTGATCAAGGAAAGGGGGACTGAGAACCCCATTCTCGGTAGAGGTTCATGAAAAGCTACATAACCATAAGAGAAAGGGTTTAAAACTATTTGGGGTACTACAACGTTCCAACCTTACTCCACCCAGTAAAGATTAGTGAGGCCCCAAGATTGATCACAGTCCTTAAAAGAATTAGTGTGATTCTTGATCAAATTAGTTACAAGATAGTTAATAAGGGACCGCCACCTAACATTCTCTAAAAATAACCCAATTATCCCGACACTTAGAGGGACATCTATAAATATCCCCTCCCATCGCTTAGTTCAATTTGTACCATAAACAACATTCAGGAGTTGAAGGATGTAAATGAAACAAACGTGACGGTAATCACTTCACAACTTGCGGATTTGGTGAATAAATAGAGAAACCTAATACTTGAAGGATGTAACTCAAATTTTACCGGCCTCTATTCAGTTTGCAATTACGATTGGGTCTAGGATTTATCTTTTTTAAGTAAGAACCATTGAGTTTAAAAGTAAAGAGTAAAAACAGAGACCATATGAAAAGACCGTTTTAGTTTGTGCAAGCGCATAGCAGGTTCATCAATTTTTATTCCCTACAATTCTTCCATTCCCCACCTCTTTGTCGTGAGATGAATATTAAGATTTCGGATTTTATTTTAAGAAATGTCGATCTTATTAAGAGAAATAGTCAATGTTGATTATTTATAATCTTTCAATGTACCCCCAAAAGATGGTAGTTCTTTTGAGCATCTCAAGTTTAAAATTTCATGTACATTTTTAAATCATAATTGGTTAAAATTGTACATTTGAATTTGATAAACTCTAGTATTATATTAAAACTTGTGGCGTGTTCGGTAGAGATTAAAATTGGATTAAAATAAAAAAGTTAGTCGTTATTGTTGACTTTTATTAGACGAGCGGAACCCAATGACGATCATATTTTCAATTAAAATTGGATTTTTATCCTGGGCAAACATGCTCTCGGTATTCCATAAAAATATTATCAACATTTTAAGAGAAATTATTCTAAACCTATTGTTTATTTAGCCCTTGTTCAATGGAAATTCAAATTCAAATTTTAATTTAAATCAAAATCAACAATTAATTTTAACCACACATTTCATAAAATCACAACTTTTCAAACACACATTTCATGAACTTCAATTAAAATCTACTAAAAAAAATTAATTTTGACACCTACCACGCAAGGGCTTAATAAGTTGTCAAATTGAACTACAAAAAGATATTTTAAACAACCGTGTTGTTCAAATAGGGTCGCAGACCGACCCGAAAATAGGGAACTGAGATGCCATCACCTCAACCTTTGATTTGAATTCATGTAGGGCACTTCTTCTTTCAAATAAGGGGCTGAGGTGTCACCTCAGCCCCTGTTTTTGGATTGGTCTTTGACCCTAGACAAGCAGATTAATTCTATTTTAAGACACCTTTCT